GAAATCATACTGCGGACGTTTCTCTCCCCATGAGTATTGTATGGGAGGAGCACAAAACACCAAAAAACCCCCCCGCCCCAGCGGTGGGGGGGGGGGAATTCTGGGAATTGAAGTCCACCCATCTTAAAGTTCCTGAGGTGAAGGAACCCTGCCTTAGAGTGCCTTCTTGTTGTTAAGCTTTTTAAAAAACAAATTATCATGCAAGCATATGTGGGCATCTGGTATAAACCACAATGACCTGAAAAATGACAGAACGCATGTCAGGTTACAATGCAAACCTGGCCTTTTGTACTAGTGTCCTGAAGTTGGATGCAAGTACATAAGTCCCAGGATGTTGCGACACGCAGGGTGTCGTTTGTCTCCACCCCTTGCAGACATCTTGTTAGCTCTCGCTGGTTTCTTCTTTGGGACCAACAAGAAGATCTAGTTTAGATGTCTTTCGCCTATGGCTCCTGTTGCTTAAAGAGAAGGTGTGTGATTGTGTAGCAGTCCCAGTGCTGCTGTTTCTCCTCTTTCTCCGCCAGTCAGATTGCCACGAATGGGGAACGTTTGCCCACTCCATGGTCCAGCTCAAGCCCTGTGATTGTAATCTTGCGTTGAGGAGAAGGTTGGTCTTTCCTTCTCAAATGCACAGATAGAAGGTGACCTCCGTAGGTGACCTCTCACTGCTGGAGGTAGACTGATGGAGATTTTACTCTGCCTCTATACCTGTCTAGGGTTTCACACACTTGGGGTTTGCTGGAAAGTTTAGAACCGGGAGCTTTCTGCAAGAGGTGTGTTGAGAGTCATGACCCAAGGTAGACCATAGGCTGTTGCAGTAGCAACTACAGTATGGTAAGACATCTTTAATAAAAGAGAGGAAACTGGGAACAACAGGGGTTGGCCTGAAACATGTACATATGGGGGAGCTCAGGAAAGTGACCAGCGGTGCACCGTTCATATGGTTGTCTGGTGGCTACCATGATCTTATTTTTGATTGTTGGTGCTAAATTAAGCTAAGAAGCTGAGCTTCTTTTCTAGACTCCTCAAATGGAAACTTCTCAGTAGCTGTGGCTAAGATTCAGATTTCTTTATAAAGTTCTGTGGTTGTTGGGCTTTTGTTTTTTGGCGGGGGGATGGTTTTAAATTTTTGGCAATAAAGGTTTTTTTGTTTTTAATTTTCAAAACCTCCGGCAAAGCAGTGTCTCTCATCTGTGGAACAATTTTCCAGTCTTTGGTGATTTAGTGGGTGACATCCAGTTTTGGGGTACTGAACTTAGCTGGCCTGTGCATGGATGTGTGTGTTTTTAAATTTGGACATGGGATAAAAGCTATATTTAAGATAGGTAGATGTGCAAACAGGCCTCCCACACCTAAGTCATCTCTCTGTATGGCAGTTTCTCTCAACCTTGGCAAGTTTAAGATGGGTGGACTTCAACTCCCAGAATTCCCC